GGATTTGGTCCACCTGCTATAGGCCTTCAGTCTGTTGGGAGCTTGACGAGTTGGTCTGAATTGCTATGTAACTATTATTTATTGGAAGACTGAAGCTGGTCTCAATTACTGTGTCATCTGGTACAAACAACTGTGGGCTTTTGGTGTGCTGGAAGCTTGTAAAGTTGGCTTTGTATGTAATATTTCTATGTTGAAAAACTGAAGAGTTGATCTCAATTACTGTGCCAATATCGTACAATGGAAGATAGAAGTGTTGATCTCAATTACTGTGCCAATATCATGTGATTGAAGACTGAAAGGTTGATTTCAATTACAGTGCCAATATGGTTTGATACACGATTAGAGGGTTGATATCAATTATTGTGCCAATATTGTTTGATGGAAGATTGAAGATTTGATCTCAATTTCTGTGCCAATACAACTCGTTGAAAGAACGCAGAAATGATCTCAATGACTGTACAAAAAAGAAAACTGAAATGTTGGTCTGATACTCTACTCTGGGTGACTATGGCCTGCCGCGAGACTGATGCACAATCCTTTGTGAGAGAATTCACTGACAAGGAGGTTTGACTAACAGCGAGGCTGTGGTCTATTAAAACATTCATAAGTAAACCCTACTGATGGAGACTACAGTTTACTAAAACATTTGGGAGTAAGTCCTTGGTGTCTGAAACATTTGGGAGTAAGTCCCTGGTGTCTGAAACATTTGGGAGTAAGTCCCTGGTGTCTGAAACATTTGGGAGTAAGTCCCTGGTGTCTGAAACATTTGGGAGTAAGTCCCTGGTGTCTGAAACATTTGGGAGTAAGTCCCTGGTGTCTGAAACATTTGGGAGTAAGTCCCTGGTGTCTGTGGGGCTATGCTGTACTTCGGATCTGAACAATAATTAACCACAGGAACAATCTTTGGTGTTATTTAGTCAGCTGATGTGATAATGATTCTTTACCAGTAAAAGTGAATAGTACCCTACATGCCAACAATGATTACAACATGAACCAGATTGCTGGATATTTTAAGATGTCTAAAATACAACAAAAATATTGTATACACAGTATGCCAACAGGATAATACAAGTAAAATTACAAATTTTTGGGGGGTCATTTCCAAGGAAACTAAACCAGTTAGCTTGCTCAAAATAATGTTTTCCCATTGTCAATTGTATCAATGTGGACACAAACTATACATTCCACAATTTACTGTCTGGCCTATTTCTCTGTATCTGTGAAAGATATAGCAAAATATGCCAAACAGTAAATTGTGCAATATATTGTTTGTGTCCACATTATTTGAAGTTAGCTAGTACTGAATACCTTTAAATGTGCAAATGCTACCCTGTGTGGGTACTTGGGTCCCATTTGGGGGATGGGGACTAGAAACTTTGCTCCTAAATAAGCATGTCATAAAAGGCAACTAATTAAGGATTTGCTGAAATCAGTTGTGTTAGGCAGAAAGGTGCGGATATCGCAGCCTATACATAAACCACAACACAATCTGCCAACAACTCTTTTAAGGAGGAAGAAGAAGACATGTGAATATGAAACATAAGCAACATATGAAACAAATTAAAGAATGCAGAGATTACCCTCCTCATTAAAAAAAAATACTTTAAACAATTATTCTGAAATAAATTAGTCAATATTTATAATATAAGAATACCATAATAATTAATGAAACATGTTTTTATTTAATTTTTTTTTATATTTTGCTTTTTCTTATTTGTCACAATAAAATGACAGCATGCAAAGAAAAAAAAAGAAGTACAAATGCAGTTCTGGTATGGTATAACAATAAAAAGGCTACTGTGTTACAACAGCATCGGTAAAAACTATAAAGTTAAGTGTAAAATGTGTCCATAATGGTAACAGTATAACTACAAAAAACTGGAAACAATTTATCCATAAAAGCATTAGTAACATTAGTAAAACTACAAAGACTGGATAAAATGGATCAATAACAGTATGAGTAAAAAAGATAAAAGACTAGATAAAAGTCACCTGCAACAATTAACAGTAAAATCACAAAGATTGAGTAAAAGTTATCAAGAATAGTAAACATTATACTGGCTAAACAGAAAGATCACAGAAAGAATAATGTTGTCTTGTAGCCAAGGGAAAACAATTAAAAATGGGTAACATGGCCACACTGTTTTGGTGCATAGATTAGTTTTTGACTGTTTAAAAACGGGTGATCTAGTTTCACTGTTATATTTATACAGAGCAACAATACATTTTATTTCACCCATTCGTGGCAAATGCTATGTTCCATCCACTCAGACATCCATTTTGCGATCAATGCATCAAATTTAACCTCTCTATCTGGCACATTTCCATTCATCATATGACTATTTGCAAAGTCCAATTTACACATCCCAATCCAATATTTTGTAGCAAATTTAGCTTTGTGGATTTAAAAAAAAAGTTATCCTGTATCTTATAAAAATGAGGGAACAAAAGGAGGTTCACATGTGGGTTCAATAGTCTAGGAGGTTTTTATGTAGGTTCAGTAGTCTAAAGCCAGCAGTTACTTTGTAGCAATGCCATTAGGTAATGTACACATAAATTGTGTCAACAATCTAAATTTTACATTGCAATAATACAATCAAGTTGTGTCAATAGTTCCAAATTGAATAAGTGAGTAATACAGTGCTTACATATAAACTTTCCAAAGAGATTCAATGTATTTAGATGAATGGAGGGGCAATTTAGTTTAACTTTTTCATCCTGACAATGTGGTCAGTGGGGGAAGCACTGCCACGTAATGAAACAGAGAGGACAACAAACTTATAATTTCTGTTAAACCTTTATAAAAGGGGATACAAAGTGTCAATGACCTAAAAACTGGTGGGCTAACCTGTATGTGAAATTTACAAAGAAACGCTAATTAAGGCTGGAAATCCTAGTTACATATTCAAAGAGGGGAGGTAACATGTCAGCAGACAAAAGACACCTATTTTAGCTTCATCGGGTTTTTCCAAGGATATATTACCTCAGAAGCCATGGCCAGTGAAATTAGCACGATAGCGGGAAAGACGCAGGTTAATGAACTCAGGACAAAGGAAAGAAGGAGAACGGAACAGTGTCAGCAAGTATATACATTGCCAGCGAAGGTGTAGAGGAACACTTGTTCTAAGAGGCAACCCTGGGTGGTATCCTGTGGATGAAGAAACCTATCTTCTGATGTCGATACTAAATATGAAACTGAGTCCATAGTTCCATTATGGAAATGAGAAGCCTTTCTGACTGCCTTGTAAGTAGTTTTAAGTTTTGTTGCAGTAAATAGATAAGTTAGAGTATTATAGCGCAAAAGTGTGGTCTAACTAAACAGCAAAACAAATGTATTTCATAATTACAGAACCAAGTGTATTAATGCAATGTATGAGTAGTCATATGTATCTTTAATGTCTAGAAGTAGACATAATCTCGGAACACAGGAGGAAAGAAAACCAAAACAACTAGATTGTCAGATTGTAGTTGATAATACAGGAGGGCAGTCTAGGAATGCAAGCCTAATATGGGATTTCACAGGTTGAAAGTGGTATGGTGAAAGAGAAGGCTATATTGAATGAACTGGGTGACATTAGGATGACCTTTTCAAGTACCCCACTGGGTCTGCAATGTTTTGACTGAGGAACATTTCTCTAACAAAGACTTTACAGTGGAATTTAAAAGCAGAATTATCTTGTGATGGTATTTGGATGAATCTAGGCTCCTGTCAAATCTGTACAAGATCAAGTGTAGAGAATCTCTTCATGATGGTTAGAAAGATGTAATGGTAATACAACAAACTGCAAACAGGTTTGCATGTGAAAAATGATATCTGCAATTACATTTACATAACTGTACTCATGGATTTTAGATAAACAGGGTAATGTTTTTTTTTAAATATATGGTTAGTGTAATAAAACTAAGATTTAGCATTATTTTTTAAAATGGAGATATCTTGATAGTGATAATATAGAGTGATTTAAAAACAGAATAATTTCTTAAAAGTGGTTAGATCCTGTGTGCAGATTTTAATGTAGAAAAATCACAGAAAAGTGATGAAATACAGGCAACCAAGGTGAATGGCAGAAGCCATTTTAGGTAGTTAGATGAGGGGAAATGAATTTAAAACAGGAAGTTCGACTGACTGCTCTTTGCTGTTCAAAGTTGTGTATAAAATCTGTATGATGACATACAATTGTGTAAATGTTCTGCTATTTTAATTACATATATCACAGTTGCTAGATGATGGCTTTTACAAATACTAAATAGATCAGAAATAAAAATGATTCTAGTATGAGATATCACAATTCTACTGCAACTATTTTCAACATTACTTCTGCTGGGAATAGTCACAGTGTCGGAATATACCACTATCAAAGAAAACTAGTTTTCTTCACAGCAACAGCTAAATGTAATTTTTATAAATAAAATATTACAGGCAAAATATCACAATGTTTATAGAATGTACTATGTTGTTCTCATTGAAGATACTATGTAAGTTTACATTCCATGCCATATGGTCTATATTTGGTCTGCATTTTGCCATAAATGTGTCTTTGTATGGACACAAGGCAAGTAACAGCTTTCTGTGGTCAATTTTGAGCATGTAAGTAATAAATACTTTCCTGTTATTTTTGAACGGATATGGCTTTTGCAGTTAGGTTCACATGTTGTTTAATGTATTATTTTTCAGTAGTACAATAATTTTTCAAGTACAAAGAGAATAATAGTAATACTTGTAAATATCTATATTTAAATACATGTTATCCTGAACAAATCCTAATAAGTATAAATTAGGGACATTCAATTAGGGACATATTTATACTTTTCAGCGTATTATTTATATGTTCTTTAAATATATATACATAACCGTGAAATGTAGAATAACATATTGTGTATGTGGCATGATCTGACACAGTTTTGGCATACACTGGGAAAAAAGTCTGGCTGTGAAAGTAATTAATCGAGATAAAGTATACAGAACATTATGAGATACTCCATATACTGCCAGCCTCCAGTCATACATCAGTCTCCAGGCCATAGTCTCCACCTGGGTTGTTCATCTTGACCGCATGATTCTCTTTGACTTTTTCAGTTAGTGGCGTTGTATGATTACCTTCCTCCATATTCATAATATCTGACACACATTCTGAATCTAATGAATCTTTTTTCTCAGGGTAGTTGCTGCACGACTGCACATGTTTATATACTCCCTTGTCCGTACTTTCCTCTCGATGGTAGAAATAATTAAAATTTGATACAATGACCGGAACAGGAAGCGCTATAGTCAGCACACCAGCGATGGCACACAATGACCCAACTAATTTACCCCAGACTCCAATTGGCATCATGTCACCATACCCTACAGTTGTCATGGTTACAACCGCCCACCAGAAGGCATCCGGAATACTTTTAAAATGAGTCTGATCCGCATCAGCTTCGGCAAAATATACAGCACTGGAGAACAAGATAACACCGATAAAGAGGAAGAAGATCAACAGGCCCAGCTCACGCATACTGGCCTTCAATGTCTGGCCCAGGATCTGAAGTCCTTTGGAGTGTCTTGAAAGTTTAAATATCCTGAAGACACGCACGAGTCGAATAACCCTGAGGATGGCTAATGACATGGCTTGGTTGTTGCTCTTACTCTGATCTGCAACAACGGTGCCCAGAGTGATGAAGTATGGAATGATGGCCACAATGTCTATACAATTCATGATATTTTTGAAGAAGCCTAGTTTTTCTGGACAGGATGCAAATCTGACCAAAAGTTCAAAGGTAAACCATATAATACAGCAGGTTTCAATGACAAAAAAGGGCTCATTGAATTTAGGGATGTCCACTTCTTCAATGGTGTCTCTAGAATTGTTGAGCGTAGAATTGAGAACTCTGTAATGCTTGAACTGTGGTAAAGTTTCTAGGCAGAATATAACTATGGACAATAAAATAATTACTACAGAGAAAATGGCACAGAGTCTTGCAGCAGCTGAACTCTCAGGATACTCAAAAAGCAGCCATACCCTTCGTTGGAATTCGTTCTGTGGTAGAGGCTTCTCCTCCTCCTTGATGAAGCCTTCATCTTCTCTGTACCTCTCAAAGGCACTCTCTCCAAGTTCATAGAATTTGATCTCTTCAGAAAATACATCCAAGGGAACGTTCACTGGGCGGCGCAATCTCCCTCCACTTTGGTAGAAATAGAGAATAGCGTCGAAGCTGGGCCGGTTCCTGTCGAAGAAATACTCGTTTCGTATAGGATCGTAGTAGCGGTTCCTTTTTGAAGTATTTCCAAGCAGTGTCTCCGGGAACTGGGTGAGCGTCTTCAGCTGGGTCTCAAACCTCAGACCGCTGACGTTGATTACAACACGCTCGCAGGTGCAGTCATAGTCGTTTTCGGGTGCACCCATCCCATCGTCATCGGCATTGTCTTCCTCTGACAACTTTGGAAAGGACCTGGAATTTGGAAGATTAGAAGATCGTAAGAGTGGCCGCTGGGTGCTATGGTAACTGTCCCGGTATCCGACCGGGCCGCCGTTACCTTCAATCCCGGCCATTGCAACCTCCATGTTGCAGTCTGCATCAGTACCACACTGACCGTAGCTCCCTATGTCTGTATCGTAGTCGCCTGCAACCCTATACAGTGTTATATACAATACAACTACATCTGACCACAAACAAAGCTACAAATATGGCGGACGTAAATAATTCGTCCGGTCCCCGGATGAAATCGATTATTTTGACGTCATTCACTACTTTGATCTCAAATTAGTGCAATAATGAGTCTAATTCCTCCTAATGCAAACAAAGTCCACCCGTTCCCGCTCGCTAAACTTCAAATTCCAAATTAACTCTTTAACTACAATTCCAGCATTAGAAGACGACTGTAACCAAGGACAAAAGCAAAATAGTTTAGTTATTCCCCAAACACAGCTTTATTTCAGTTTATTTACGCTGAGTTTTATTTAGTGTGCTTGGGGGTGAGCAGTAAGCAATGCCACGCAAGAATTGATCGCACTCACAACTAGCTACCACATGCCCTCAATTACACTCGCTAATGTGCTCGGAATTAAACATAATCCCATTGGCTCCCACGAGCAGTTAGCTACATAGGTAAAGCATATGTACTTCCCCAAACCACCCGTTTATGTCAAACTAATTAAGTAACTTCATAAGTGATAATACTATAAGAAAGTTTATTACAACGTATTAGACGTATTGACTCACCTTCGCACACACAACAAGTCTAGCGGAGGGCAAGAGCTATTTAAAGCAACGGAGGATTAAAATTCCCCAGGTGAGACAGTCCTCCACACGGCCGACTGTATTTAGGCCTCCCGGTGGATATCTTATTTACCTTCATAATTCGACATCTAAAAAATACGATGGTGGAATTAATAAATTTCTCATAAAATAAACAGCAACTTTAATGTATTTTGCGTGACTGCCGTGAAGGGATGAAATAAGTAAAGTCATTGACTGCGAAAGGAGAAGTCTCTGCTGAAGGGGGTTGGCGGGCTGTGTTGTGAGCAGGGCTGTCGAAATTATTTTGGGAAATTCACCCTTTTTTTTTAAAGGTACCAATGCATTTAAATTGTACTTTTAAAGAAACTAAAAACAAATAAAACATCTGCAAAAACAAACACACACACACACAAACACACACTAAGGAATAATAAATCCAGCATGTTAATGACACAATGTTAGTAACATTGTCTAATTATTCATAGTACAGTTTATATCATACTCATAACCCATAACCAAGCATTATTTGGAACAATACAAATTACATTTCGGTAATTTAAACAGTATCGTGATATATAAATACAGAATAACAAATATATACTCTGATAAATCAATTAACACTAGACATCCCAATTCTTCTTCTTCTTCCCATTCACCAGCTGTAAACTCTGGGGGATAGTTCTGGTTGTTCATCCACTTCTAGGCTGCAGTCCTGTTCCACAACATGAGTGTTAAATGTGCATGCGTTTTACAGATCTGACATTTGTATGCAGACTGCTGGCTCTTTGCCTCTCAGGTAGATGCACTCCGACTTTGAAGGTGGCTCCCAGTTAGTCGACTCTTACGACATGCTGGTGGGTAGGCAGTGGGTCTTTCTTGTTTTCCGGATCCCAGAACCCCCACGGGGAATATTTCCCAATTATAACACTGAGGGTTGAACATGACTTTTTTTAAAATTACTACTACTGCACACATAAAACTGACTTGACCACTATTTGATCAGAGTTAAAAGTATGTGTCCATTACATGAATACTGTACCATCACCTATCCCCCCGCATCCCCCCCCCTTTCGCTCAGTTTGTTACAAAATTGCTGGAGCAGCTTCCAGTCAGTTCAGTTCATGTCTTGGGGCTACAACCTTAAAGTCATATAAACATTTTTTTTTTTTGGTCGAAGTCTTCAACTATCGAAGTTTTGTCTCAATACTGTAAAAAAAAAAAAAAAAAAAAAAAAAAAAAAAAAAAAAAAAAACACACACACACACACACACTATTGTTGCAGCTGCAGAGGAATAGTGCAATGCCAAAATACTCAGCGTACATTTTAATACTAATAGGAAGCGATTTTCATCTCCACATTTTTTATTCTGAAAATATAAAGTTCTGAAATTATCAAACACGGTTATTCTGAAGTTTTACAGCGTTGGATGATTGATCTTGCACGATTAGTTTCCTCCAGACTGACTGACTTTCTCCTACACCAGGACATCACACAAGCAATAAACACCCGATAACTAAAGTGCCACCATGTGGATGAGGATCACCGTGGAGTGGTCCAAGTTACCGTGTTAAGCCATTAGGCCATATTTATGGCCTGGCTATATTGCAGCCCCTGGCAAGAGCCAGAGTAGGGCTTCAAATAATGCAAAATTTTATCTTGAAAACGACTTCAAGTATAATTTTTTTTGACGTTCTTTAACATGGCTGTTTCAACGAAAGGTTTAACAAAATACCAATGTTTAAAATTTAAATGCAACATTTGGAAAACATATCAACACACTGGGTGTGGTACCAAAAGCACAGTTTTGCCCGTTAACGGGCAAATAATACCAAATGTAGGGGGTGGGGGGGGGGGGGGGGGGTTGCGTGGGGGAACTAAGTGGTCTCGAGGCTTGGTGTCCGTCTTGAGTGCCACGTTCAGGCCTAGGAGGTAGGGATTTTTTTTACGTGGACTTCTAGTAATTTCCCCTGGTCTCTGGGTAGTAGGATCGGACGCCCGTATGTATTGTTGTGCAAGTAAAAAAATTCATTGGCTGCTGGAATAAAAAGAGTAGCCTAATGGCGCTGCCCGGGAAAAAAATTGAGTTAAAAATCTACCCAAATTATTTCAGGATCCTCACCGGTGCTACGGAGTCAGTTCACTGCGCTGAGAATATTCGGACTCAGGCTTGGGTTATAAGTAGAACGGAGCACTTGTGGGTTACTACCCTTGTGTCATGATGTTGATCGATTTTTCAAACCAAACCAACCTAGACCAACTTGGGCAGCCCTGCTAGCGAGCAGGCGCAGCCACAAGAGGCCGACGACCGACGAACGCCGAACGGAAGCAACCCAAACCCAAGTACGTCACGCTGTAGTGGTTTATTTCGCAGCGTGGGTTACTCAATCCCCCATCTTTGGATGGTTTTAAACGTTAAATCTGTGAATATTACTTAAATATACATGTTTTAAGTTATTCTTGTGGACAAGATGACACAGTATTTGCCTCCAAACTTGCTGGCCTTGTTCGCTGCCAGGGACCCGCTGCCATATCTCCCTCCTGCCGACAAACTACCCCATGAGAAGAAACGGGTTCCATATTCAGGCGTTGCTTCGTTTCTGGAGGGATTCGAGGTACGTACTAACACCGCATTGTGTTAACCAGATGTTTCGTTTGTTACTTGTTGTTGATGAGATATATTTGGGAATTATTCAGTCATATTCGTCGTATCTTCTGCTCTACACGGCTACACGCCACATCGTTTTTATTTACTAAACATGGCGGCCCAGAGCGTCGCCAATAATTAACGATTTGATTTGACTTTGTAATATCCGTAAAGAAAGGGGGGAGATATTTGATGACGCAGATCAAAATGAGTCTAGAAAATAAAAAACACATAACTATTTTTTTTATTGTTGACACTCAACTGATTTACGGTTAGAAATGATACGGTTCACAAATCATATGACTAGTTACTTTAGTCACATTTTTAAAATGCCCTCTTCTACAATAATAAAACCAGCACAGTTAGATAGCTGTAAACAATCTCTTTCCAATGGTACCTCATTTAGGCTTGTATGTCATTTCTGAGCTAAGATATGTAGGTTTTTGTGGAGATATGTAAAAAACAGCGGCTCTACTTGCAGATTTGGCCGGCAAGCTGGACGGCATCGGTCGGCTTAGTGGGAGTTATGTCCCTTCGCCAAACTCAAAACAAGTCGCGAAAAAAGTCACGAATCAAATGACATACTTACCTATCATCATCCGGGTGCGTGTAGGGTTGCCTACGGTTGCGTCTAGGGTTACCTATCATACGGTTGCGTGTAGGGCTGCGTAGGGTGTCTATCATCATTCTACGGTTGCGTGTAGGGCTGCTTTTTGCGTGTAGGGTTGGTTGCGTAAGATTAGGAGTCGGGTTATGGGTAGGGTTAGATGTGAAAATTTTCACGTAGGAGGTCGAAAAAGTGGCCGACAATCTGATGCTTGTGGGAGTGGCGCCACTGAAATTCTGCCAAATATGACGGCAATAGCGGGCGAGGCAGCTGGTGCCCAGGGTTATAGGATTAGGGTTAGGGTTAGGTTTAGCGTCAGATGTGACAATTGTGACGCCGTAGTTGCCTATAATCGCGCAGTCACATACACACTCAAACAGTCGACGGACGGTGGATGCTACTAACACAGACAATTCGCCACCAATTGGGCACCAGCCGCGCGCTTTTGCCGTCATACTTGGCACACTTCCGGTGGCGCAAGTCCCACGAGCATCAGACTGTCGCCCAGTATTTGGAAGTTCTACGTCACCATTTTCACATCTAACCCTAATGCCCTACCCCTAACCCCAACCCAAACCCTATGCAACCCTACACGCAACCGTATGATGATGATAGACACCCTGTGCAACCCTACACGCAACCATATGATAATAGGTAACCCTAGACGCAACCGTATGATGACTACGCCACCCTTCACGCAACCGTATGATGACTACGCCACCGTACATGCAACCGTACGCACCCGGATGATGATAGCTAAGTATGTCATTTGATTCGTGACTTTTTCCGCTACTTGTTTTGAGTTTGGCGAAGGGACATAACTCCCACTAAGCCGACCGATGCCGTCCAGCTTGCCGACCAAATCTGCTAGTAGAGCCAAAACAGCTGCTTAAACTTGTCTCCCAGAAACAAGAAGTTCTCTCTGTGCAACCAAACTGCGCAACTTTCGTTTTGGCTTTGTTTACATTGGACTGTCATTGGACAAGATGGCAGCCAATGACGAATGAGACACAGCCACATAATAGCGATTGCCTGAAAAAATGTCACTGTATACTGTAAATCTAAACAGCCACGGACAAGAAAGAAATTTTATACACAAATTTAAAATTGGACGGAGAATTCAAATATAACTAGCATTACAATGTCTGGTAATGTTTAAGGACAAAGCCAGCCTTGAATACTTTACCGCTATTTTCAATCAAACTGATGTAACAGAAAAACAGAGGACGTCCGGCTGTCGTAGACATGCGCTGTTAATCGGGTTCCTTCCCGCTGTTTTCAGCTATTTAGAGTGGGTAAAAATCACACCAATCGCAAAATTTCATGAGAGATTAGGACCCATCCCGAAACCCCAGCCATCATTTCCAAAGCAAGTTTCGAACCAAAAGATTGCAAATTTCCGGACACCATAGTCGCTAATATGACTAAGGCTCTTCTCCGAACTTCTACCCCCGCATTACATTACAAAGAAATATCCTTACAGGGCTCAATCATATTAAAAATATGAGAACTTCCGGCGACGAAAACTAGGATCAGCTCCGTATAGCCAACTGGCCTTCGCTTTCTAACTGAAGGACTCCCAAGTGATTGAGGTTGTACCTGTAAATTCGTTGTCTCCACAACCTTCTTGCTTTGTTGTCTGCTCTTATTGGTCTATCTCTTTTGCATATTATATGCAAGTTTTATCTTCAAAAGTTAAAAGTCCTTTAGCCTTACATGATTGTCTGTTTAAATACATCAAAATTTGATTCTTATGAATTTATCACCATGAAAAGCAGCAGAACCTGGTTGGGTCAATCCCCTTTAGAAAAAAATGTTTCTGCTTGTCTTAGCTGCCTCCTGTTTATGAGACATACAGATAATGCTGTTTGTTGTGCTCACACCCACACGACCCGCTTGGGGAAACGTGGCTCACCCCACAGAGTAAACTGTAAAGGAAACTGGTTCTCACATATGCCGCTTGTTGTGTCAGAGTCTAGTTGACAGGTGCTTATGTAACATAACAACCCTTGACCCCTCTGGGTCGTGGAGGTGTGTTGATGGAAGCACTAGCACATACAACACACCATCTTTCTCTGTCTTCTGCTTGGTGAATTAGTATGATAACTTTGTCCTGTCCATTTCTTGATGTCATTCCAGGTTCTTCTTTGCCCTCCTCTTCTTCGACTACCCCTCAATGTTCCTTGAAGCACAATCTTTTTAATTGAATCATGTCTCACCCTGTTCCAAAACCAAGAGGCTTTGATGTTTTTGACCAGATGACGGTTTACGTCTACTTTTTCTACTGGGCTCACCCAGAAGTGTAATTGTGTGTTGTGCCCGTTTACAGCATGGCTGTGATATTTGTGCCATTCAGTCGATATCTCAGACTTCAGCAGGCATTAGTAAATTGAGTTAGCCTTCTCAGGGGACAAGTGTTTACATAGGTTGAAGTTGTCGGCCCTACACCTCAATTCCCAACCTGGAGAACCAGGGTGTCTCCTTTTATCTCTTCTTCCTTTTTTGCTATGTCCATCTTGGGAAGCCCTGTTGGTAGTCACGCTACTGCCAACAAAGCTATCATGGTTATTAAAGAAGATATGCTCCCCCACTACAGCAAGGTGCAACAACTTTGGGAAGAGAAAATTACCATTGCATCGTAGAAAAAAATAACTTAGAATGTGGCCCTATACCTATAGTTGTTACTCATCTAGACTTTTCCGTAATTGGTGCTTTTATGGCTGTCCCCCCCCCCCCCACCCTCACGGGGTGAGGGGTGAGGTAGCTACGAATCCCATCCTTTTTTTTTTTTTGCCCCACCCTCACGGGGTGAGGTAGCTAATCCCATGCTCCCCCCACCCTCACGGGGTGAGGTAGCTAATCCCATGCCCCCCCCCACCCTACACGGGTGATTGAGGTAGCTAATCCCATGCCATGACCCCAATCCACCCTCATGGGGTGAGGTAGCTAATTCCCATGCCCCCCCCCCCACCCACCCTCAGAGCGGGTGAGCACAGTTCTAACCCGACCCATGCCCCCAAGCCCCCCCCACCCCACCCTCACGGTGAGGTAGCTAATCCCCATGCCCCCACCCTCACGGGGTGAGGCACCTAGCTAATCCCATGCCCCCCCCCCACCCACCCTCTCACGGGGGTGAGGTAGCTAATCCCATTTGCCCCCCCACCCTCACGGGGTGAGGTAGCTAATCCCCATGCCCCCCCCACCCCCCCCATCCTCACGGGGGAAGGTAGTGAGGTAGCTAATCCCATGCCCCCCACCCTCTATTTACGGGGTGCGGTAGCTAATCTCCATGCTCCCCCACCCTCAACGGGGTGAGGTAGCTAATCCCATGCCCCCCCCCACCCGTACACGGGGTGAGGTAGCTTAATCCCATGCCCCCACCACCCTCACGGGGGTGAGGTAGCTAATCCCATGCCCCCCCCCCCCCCCCACCCTCACGGGGTGAGGTTAGCTAAATCCATGCTCCCCCCACCCTCACGGGGGGTGAGGTAGCTAATCCCATGCTTCTCCCCCCCCTCTCACGGGGTGAGGTAGCTAATCCCATGCTCCCCCACCCTCACGGGGTGAGGTAGCTAATCCCATTGCCCCCCCCCCCCCCACCCTCACGGGGTGAGGTAGCTAATCCCATGCCCCCCACCCACCCTCACGGGGTGAGGTAGCTAATCCCATGCCCCCCCCACCCTCACGGGGTGAGGTAGCTAATCCCATGCTCCCCCCACCCACCCTCACGGGGTGAGGTAGCTAATCCCATGCTCCCCCCCCCCCCCACCCTCACGGGGTGAGGTAGCTAATCCCATCCACCCACCCCCCCCCCCCCCCACCCACCCTAATTCTTTTCTCGCTACAGGCCTAACATGCCTAGTAGGGTGCAGTGTTACTATTGTTTTTTTCTTCTGAGGACCCCACCAACACCTGGGCAGCCTAATAAAATAGACTGACTCAATTTGACGGTGTTTTCTATAGAATTGTCAGTAACCTTTGGGTAACTCTTTGAGTCCCAAGTTGGGTGCTAATTAATCCCATTATATATCCTAAGAATGTATTATTTTAGCTAATTAAAGTTAGCTAACAAAATTACTAAATAGTAAACAGCAGATTAAGAATAGTAAATGATATACGAGAGCTCAGCAAACGCAGGATGTTTTCCTTGGGGACTGATTGAGTTCCGCAATTTTTGGTTACCCCAGTGTGTGCACACGCCTGTAGCTTTACGCGTTGCCACTGCGCTCTGTAATGTCGGGTTCGATCCCAGCTGCAGACAGTTTATTTTGCGTTGATTTCGACAGGGGAGCTGAGAGCTGACAGTTCAGTAAGCCATATCTTATCAAGTTACCACCTACTAGTTTCCACAAACTAGAACA